TGTGTAGAGGCTGACATTGCCAATTATGAGGTGCATCTAAAGGAAGAGGTGGAAAAGAGGAAGAAATACAAAGTAGGTTTTTGTTTTCAGTTCTGTGACAAGTCTCAGACTGCCCCTTTGTTTATATGTTGCTTCAAATAAGCCAAAAAGAGCTTGTGCTTTTTCTTTTCATTTTTTAAGCCACTTAACACTGACCTATGAATCATTCAAGCATAAAAAGGCATCTAACTCAAAGGATGATCCAGTGTTGTGTGTAAACATAGCAAACAACTTTTCTTTACTAGCAGCCTGTCACAAAAACACATCATTAATTCAAATTTCTTTGGGTGAATCTATGAAAAATGCTAAAGACGAAGGTTAAACAGTTAGTGTCTGTAGTCATCTGTAGCTAAAAGTAGTGTGTAGCATATCTAAAAGTACCTTTTAGCTTTTCATCCACCATGTATTACCATCTGGAAAGCTTCTAATTGACAAGAGCTTCAGTTTTTTTTTTTTTATTTTTTTTTTTTTTTAACATGACATTACAAGAAAACTGCCTAAGAGTTCAGGCCGTGTTGAAAAATTTAAGTGGTCATAGCAAATATTGACTTTCAACAGACTGTTTTTACCGTATATACTGTATTTCCATGCATTCTGCACATGCTTCAGTAAAACACTGCACTGCTTTACCATTTTCTTAGCAAAATCTAATACAAATCAGGGGTGGTTGAAGACTTTTTCACAGAAATTTAACATCATTTATTTGACTCATTTTTAAAAACATACAATTATAATCAAATCTCTCTCTCTTTTTACCTCCATGTGTTCAGATCGATGATCAAAGAAGAACCCACAATTATGATGAGTTTATCTGCACCTTTATATCAATGCTGGCCCAAGAAGGTAAAGCTGATCGCCATATTCCATCACAGTTTATCTTGCATTCCTTTTCCCTTCCTGTCTAAACCAGCCTTTAGGAACTCTTGAGATTTCATTTATGTTCCATAAATTCTCAGTGGTCACTAGTACTGTGTACAAGTAAAATCCTACCACATTTATGAATGTCTTCATATAAAGTGTCAGTCATTTTTCTGTATTTACTAAGAATAAGAATCTTAGGAATGAGAGAACAAAATGAGAAGCACTCAGTTGTGTGCCCATTCAATCAGAAGTACACATTTTTCTACACAAACAAACAAAACACAAGCGCCGTGTTGGTATTTTTGTAACTTTTGCTGGTATTCCTGTGCAGGCATGTTGGCTAGCCTTGTGGAGCAGAACATATCTGTGCGTCGTCGGCAGGGAGTGAGCATTGGCCGCTTGCACAAACAGAGGAAGCCCGATAGAAGGAAACGTTCCCGACCTTATAAAGCCAAACGCCAGTAAACACGAACAATCATAACTTCTGAGAGCAGCAAGCAATCACCATGGGATTGGGGGCGGGGCTTCACTCCTGAAACATTCTCCTGAAGGCAGGTTATTGCTGCGTTTTTGTTAATTTCTTTTATCATATTTGTACATGCTATTTTAGACTTAATGTAACATTTTCCACCTGTGCCATTGCTATATGCAGCCTCTGAGAAAAAAAAAAAAGGGCATGTCCCAAGTGAAGCTGGATGCTTTTTTTTTTTGTTTTAATTCTCTACAGTTTTGTGTGGTCAGTACAATAAATGGGTTTCTTCTGTATTTCTATAAAATTCTATATATCACTAAACTTTTGTAACAACAAGTCAGCATTTCCTCAGTTGTATCCCTCTTTGACGTTTTCACAGTGCCAATGAAGTATTTAAAGTATTGAATGTTTGGACAATAAAGCCTATGTTTTAGTCATTCTCAGCACTTCAGCATATCCAGTGTAGCAACTTCACTATATAACATAAAAAATAGACTTGTAATCATTGTAATATATATGGACAGTTAAGACCTCAATGGCACAGTCACTCACAGAGTGATTCATCACGTTTTTCTCTTCACTGGAATGTCTTTTTCAATCGAAGGTCTCTGGATATATATGTACAGTTTGTCCTGCAAATAATAAAAATTTAAAAAAGGAAATTAAGTTATTGTCATTTTAGCAAAGATTAAAGTGTCTCTTTGGAGGCGTATCTGTTTATTGGCTTGCCTATATACTGAGGTGAGTTCTTTGTGCTCACCAATTCATACTACAGTAAAGAAAGGTGTTAAAGTGGTAGTAATTATCAGACAAAGGTAAATGTACTGTAGTGGCAGCCGATGCACACTAGGGAGAGCAATCATTCAGGGATGAGCGGGACCTTGCAGATCTGTCTCTGGACCAGTGGTTCTCAAACCTTTTGTGGTGTGACCCACTTCAAAATCTGACAAATGGCTCAGGTCCAACACATTTTTTTTTTCAAACATAAAAAAATGAATGAAAATAATCCAGGTTGAATTACAGTGAAATAAAGGTCGGCACAATGGCATCATTTTTCATGTGGTCACCCACACCCCACCCGCAGTAGCTATATCCCCACCATTATTCTACACTGTGCTTTAAATACAGCTATTCAGAATAGAACTTTTGATTTACTGCAGTCAGACTATGTTGTGGCACAGTGTCTGAGATGTAAATTTCTATTCATATAAATATTTAATGTCAGCCTTGTTGCATCAGTATTTTGTCTTTGCTCAAACAAGCTCAGTGTTCTTCCACAGTTTTTTGTTGCACTTCAAAGCTACATTTTCTATTTTACCCCATATGAAATGAAATACATTCGTTTTTCATGATCGCAGTCAGTGAGCAGTCTTTGATCTATAAAACATGAGCTACACCCATAAGTAAAACTGTCAGTCTTAACATGACAGGTATTTTATGTTAGTTTGTGTTTCGTTTTGTTTTTCAGCTGCTGTCTGGCTTTACCTTAGGACATGTTTGAGCCTCTTTGTGATAAACACTGGCTCCATGGCAGAGCAGAGAAGCAAGCACACAGTAACCTATGTGGGAGTGGGTTTTAAAGAAAAAAAACACCCCTCGGCCACACATTTTGAGTGCAGCAGATGTTTGAGTTAAGTAAATCCATGCTGCGGTGTGTTATGTCACTGATGATTTGCTACAGAGACATAGACTTAGAACTGCAACCAGCTTCTTCACAGTAAACACAAAACATGATAGACATTATATGAATAGATGTCCTTCTGTTGTCATAGTCATGTTTACCGTTAACAGAAAATTATAATTAACAGACGATTCGTATGGAAGTATGCTTTTTGGGGGTTGGTTTTTATAAAATTACACTCACCTCTACTGGATCTGTAGTAAAACTCATTTTTTAAGTGTTATTCATGCATTTTTATATCTTAGATGAAGCACAGTTTTACATTTACTAAAATAAATGTAGGACTTTTCATATTTATTCATGTCACTGGGGACTCCAAAAAGTCCTCAGTGACAACAAACAGAAAGCAGCAAGACAGCAGAAGAGCTTATAAATACATAAGAGTTGTTTGACTGGGCTACATTCTCTAATCTGCCTCTTCCTTCTATGCTCCCTCTTGTCTCTTTTTAAATGCAAGGAGGGCCAGTGGATGGAGATGCACTAACATGCAGGAGTGACTGCAGCACTACCATAGTGCAGAACAGGAAGGCTATGATTGCAGTACACTGTGTGACATCATTCTTTGCTGATGGTGCTATTACCCTATTATCTCTTAACACAGAGATGGAGGTGCACTCTGGCCCTGGTTTTTACTCCTTTGGGTGCAACAATGAATTATTTTAATGATCTTTTCATTTTCCTTTTTGTGTCCAACAAACCACAATCCCAAACATCACAAAAGACCAAGATAACAAACAAGTTCACATGTTATAAGCTCCAGGGAACAGTTGGCCTTTTTGCTTAAATGACTTGAAAGATTAGCCCGAAATGCTTGGTGATTAATTGTCTGCTGGATGACAATAATTGCTTTAGCTCTAGAGAAATGTAATTAAATTGCAAGTATAACCAAATCACTTGTGGCCGACTATGGACTTCCTGAAGATCTGTGCAACTATTTTTAGAGGTTTAACTGTGTTTCATTTGATTTCAGGTACAAGTGCTTGATTCCATATCATTTTATTCTTTTTGCTGAATAAAAAAGATGGATTACATTAACAGGATTTTTTTTTACTTTATGTCTTGCAAGAAAGCTAATTCGATTGTATTTTATTTATATAGTGCCAAATCGCAACAACAGTTGCCTCAAAGTGCTTAATTTTGTAAAGTAAAGACAGTAATGCAGAGAAACCCCAACTATCAGACCTAACTAAAAGCAAGCGCCATGTCAATAGTGTGAAAGAAAAACTAACTTTTAACCGGAAGAAACCTCTGACAGAACCAGGCTCAGAGAGGGGCAGCCCACTACCATGATGGGCTGGGGGTGAGGAGAGGAAGACAGGACAAAAGACAGGCTGTGGAAGACATAGATTAATAATGATTAAATGTAGAGTGGTCTATAAACACACAGTGAGTAAAAAAAGATAAGTGAAGAAGAAACGCTCAGTGCATCATGGGAAGCCCCCAGTAGTCTAGCCCTATTGCAGCATAATTAAGGTAGTACTGAAAGTTTTAAAGCTAATATTAAAAGAGAGGTTGTCTGTCTTACAAATCTCCTGTTAAGATTGCAAATATAATATTATTGGATTATTTCTAGCCACACCATTGGCTGGAAACTGCTTTGACACAATGTTTTGAAGTCTTTCAGTATTATTTTATTTTCTCTGACTTTCAGCAGGCTCACAAAAGCGAAACTGCAAAAACGTAGTCAGGCATCTCAAGCACACACTTCGCTTTGTTTGGTGTCTCCATCATTTAGGTTACTAAACAAACGGTCCATAAAGGAAACGACGTGCTCTGAATCAGGGATGCCTCACTGCTCTCCAGTCATGCGCCCTGGAGGTCTCGGGCCAGGGGAATTTGCGCCGTGGTGTCTCGAGGCTCGCTTGAGATAAGTGACCAGCGTGCACGCGCACGTACGAGCCACACAAGTCACCACCCATTGCGTCAGCGCGCTCCCTCACCCTCTCCGTCAGCGCGCGTGCTCCGTGCGGGATGCTGAATTGTAGGTGATGATGGCGGAAGGGGAGCACCGCTGAGTTTCATCTGAGTTTTCACCACAGCTGTAGAACCATCTACAACATCGTTTCTGTCCATCGAGACCTATCCCGAGGCGATGGGGAACGAGGCCAGCATGGAAGGGGAGGGACAGGCGGGACAGCCCGGCCCCGCCGTCCCTGCAGCAGGGGCTCCGGCTTCCATTTCAGCACCACCGGACTCTGGACAGCTCATCAAGCCCAGCAATGGAGCGCCAGCCGGAGGAAGTGGGGCTGGACCCGGGCCGGGGATTAACAGGTAGCAGCAATAGCTAGGACGCTTCTTCGCCAAAGTGTGGAGAGGAATCAGGGAGGCTACACGGCAACGTGGTGTGTAGCGTACATTAGTAGCCTAACGATGTGCAGCGTAGATATAGGATCAACCGACTGCGTGTAGATAGACTTGAATGGGTGCTAAATTATTTATTTCAATATCACTGTCAACACAATTTACCACCACCCCCCTTTCAGACCAATTTATGCTTTTTATTTGTAATTTTTTTGGCAGCACCGCCCTGTCAATAAGGAAATTAATATGCAACGGTCTCGATGTGCAATCAATAAAACGTAAATATGCTCTCAGACGTCTGAAGTAGGAATTTACGCCCGTTTTCACGGTGTCTGTCCCGAGGCACCAGCAAGTATCATGAATGAAAGAGCGACGTAGTGAGGCAGTGTTAAGTATCTATATATATATATATATA